AACTACTAGTTTCAGTAGTGTTCTTAGCTGCGAGGATCTTCTAATTTCATAAAAATATCATCTTCTAGAAAGATCCCTCTGCGAAAGCGTTTGCGCTTTAGGAAACGGATTCAATGGTTGATATCAGAATTTGCATTCATATCATTCAGTTGCTTAACTTCCGTTAATATGTGCGCGGCTGGTTCGAAGTGTTTTATGGAAAGTAGATTAGTGTCCATGTTTCAATAAATTCTTTACTTGTTCGATAACAGGATCTAAAGGAAATATAATTTCAAGGCTAAATGTTTGTTTATTGATGTTAAAGAGCATGTGGACGGTTTTTTTTTCTCATCATCTTAAAATAGTGATTAGACGCCGTGGTAAATAAACCATAGAAATTAATTTACGTTTTGTTACATTTGATAAACGATTGTTACGGAGAATACCCGCTTTGGAAAAGATTTTACTCTTCATTAACGAGCTTTTCAAAGGCCCATTTTACTGAGGTGTTCTTAAGGGAAAGTTTCTGTGGTAAAATGGAAGCTTTCGTTTCTTAATTAGGTAACGCAAAGAAACAGGAAACCACTGTTAAATGTGTTCATTGGATGGTTTGGGCGTGAAAAAAGAGTTGACGTGCGTTATTTGTGGATCACAAATTCACCACTGGGTCAATATCCTACCAACTTGACCTATCTCATGGACAATAACGCATTTATTTCTATTTAATTTGTTATCCTCTCGGTTTCGTCAATCGTAACAAAATAGTCCCAGTCTCCTTCGCGGCTGTCTTACAATTCTTTTCCCAACAGATCAATAGTCAATCCAATGTATGGGCCAATCACTAATAGCCATTCATTTTGGGAACCTCTCTCGCTAATTTCGCCTTCATATATGAATATTAACAAAAAAGGGTAAAAACAGAGACTCGTCCAACGGACACCGTTTTCTGTCGTTACCCACACGTGGAAAACAAACATCACAAATCAAGATGGGTGTGCTCTTCAGACGCTTGATTCTCATCAAAGCTTTTGAGATGAAAAATTTGCTATGAACAAGATTAATTTGACTTGCCAGTACACTAGAAGACACAAGATGTATTTCTACATAATGAAGAGTTTGTGTTTGTTTACCGCTGGGTTTTATTTTGGTGACATGCTACACGACGTATTCATCGATCTGTTGGTGGCTTTGGCACTCTATCCACTGGGACACAAGCAGGTTATCACAGCTCTTAGTTCGCGAAAATGCCTTTACCAGCAAGAATTGGTCGGTCCCATGAGGTGGGTAAAAGTTTTTTTGCAATCTTTATAGCGATTAGTATTTGAAAAGCGACAAGATCACAATTTGATTGTTCATTTAATGTTCAAAATAGCACTTTTATTCGATTAAATGCATCGTAAACCCAACGACCGCGAGAGAGGAAATGAAAGTGCAATCAGCTGGACAACTCAGCTTTTTAACGGCTTCTGGATAATAATTAATCGACCTATTAATTTTCCGACGATAGTGTGTACATGCACGAGGACAGAGGTGTTGTTTTTTACCATACACACAGTTGTGCACAATGTTTCGAGAAAGATGTTGTACATTTGGCACAACAATAGTACAATGAAGAAAATCTGAGTTTTACGAGAGGATTCGATCCTCAGGCTCTAAGAATTTGCATTCGATTGCTCCAACCATTGGGCTCGGTAGTGAGTCATGCCATACAGAGCACCCTGTTCAATTGTGCCAGGCATTCTTCATAGTCAGGTGAAGTAGGATCAGCAATGTTGGAGCATTCGTTGTACAGAGTCATCTACTTATATAAAGTAAGAGAGATGATAGACTTTTCTAACTTGGTCATGGGATAAAGAGAGAGAACCGTCAATTTAACTCCCAGGATGAACCAAGGTAGAATTTCTCCTTACAATATCAATGCATTACCAAGCAGACAAGTGATGAGCATAGATAAAAACATAAATTACCAAGGGCATAATTAGGTGATCAAATATTACATTCCTCACACTTACATCATAAGAATTGTGTAATAGACAGAAAGGAGAATTACTAATTAGATCTTGGGAGTGAAAGAGTTAAACAATACCTTTTTGTTTTAGTTTGCAATGTAGTTGTGTACATTGTAATTTTTTTATTCATTCAGAACCCTATAGAA